ACGGACCGAGAGGTCATGACCTGAGTCGAAGTCGGACGTTTAACCAACTGAGCCCCCCAGGCGCCCCAACATCCCTCATGTTTTCTGACATGATGTCTCAGACTCGGGAAACCTTCCAACGCCCTGTGTGAAACCCTGTCTCCAGAAGGTTTCTCTTGCGAAAGCTTTCCCTGCCTTAAATCTTCTGCTCCATAAACACTTTGCTTCAGCCCAGTCTTCACTGCTCGGCCTACAGATGGAGGATAAAATAGAAACCCCTCAGCCTGGTGCATAAGGCCCTGCAAAGGCCGGGCCCAGCTGCTCTCCCAGCCTCGGCTCCGGTTGCCTCTCCGACAAGCCCTGGGATCCGGCTCTCTGCTGCTCCGTGAACACGCCTTGGCCCCGTAACTCGTGTCATTCCCTTGCCTGGAAATACCCTTCCCTCTGTCTTTGACGGGTGAACTCCGATGCGTTCGCCAAAACACGCCGCAAAGATCACCTCCAACTCTGAGCCCCTTGCTTGTATCTGTATCGTGGCACTTACCACACTTCGTTATCACTACTTTCCTTTGTGTCTCCACCTCTGAAAACCAGTGACATGTTCCCCAGCATCTAGCACGGTGTGGAAACAGCAGGTGCTCAATAGTGGTGCATTGACAACTTGGGGAAGAAAGCCATCAGGTATGAGGATGACTAACATCCCCTGGAGGTTGAACTAGAGAATATTGCCCAAGACAAAACACTAAGTTCGATTCACCAAGACTTTCCAGAGAAATCCCTCTCCCGTGTCAGTGTCACAAAAAGCTGTCTCTCCTCAGCCATCTGGTTTGTTTGTTTGTTTTCCTTCTGGGCTTTATGAGTCTTAGACCTGATTATGTTCACCTCTTTAGTTACCAGGAAGCTCAGAGCCCGCATCTAGAAACCGTATAGAATTACCCGATACGCGCTTCTGGGCACGGATCTTGACCTTCCCCTTCAACCCAATTCCCTCAGTCATTTTATTCTATGTTGTAAAGTGTTAGCTTTTGGAATCATCCATGCCAAGTTCTTGGTGGGATGAAGTAATTAATTAGAGAAATATAGAATGAAGGAAATAATCAATAAACCCATTATTCACTATTGTAAACCCTCCTCATGTGGCCTGGTGTCCACACCCTTTGTCCCCCACCCCCGCCCCAGAGCCAGGACTTGGGTGAGACAAGGAAGGCGCAGGTGCGGAATTTACGGAAGCACCCATTCCTAGAGCTGTGCAAGTGCCAACTGTGCACGAACACGACCTTCAGAAGAGCATGGAACTCTTGATCTCAGGGTCATAAGTTCGAGCCCCACATTGAGAGTACTAAAAAAATTAATAAGTAAACTTTTTAAAAAAGGGAGGGAGGGAGGGAGGGAGGGAGGGAGAGAGAGGAAGGAAGGAATGAAGGAAGGAAGGAAGGAAGGATGGAAGGAAGGGGGAGGGAAAAAGAAAGGGGCACCCTGGGTACTGTGGTGGCCCTAGGTCGAGGGCTTCCCTAAATTTTGTGCCTTGGTCACCTCTCTTGCCTCACCTTAGTCCTGGCCCTATGGTTCACCATCCATCCTTCCACGACCTGTGCCCATTTGCCAGGGCCCCCTGACCTCAGGTTCCCAGCACTGAAGAAATGGGGTGGACCCTCCTCAGGTGCCTAGTGCCACACCAACTCTCTTGGCCGCCATGTTACTCCATTGACTCATAGATAGTCCGCTGTCACCCAAGGCCTAGGTCCTTTTGACATGAACTACATCCAAGCCAGATCCTCCCCATCCTGCCCTTCTCTGTTGATTCTGAATCTCCAGAAAAGGCCCTTAAAGAAGGTATTAGAGAGCCTAAGGAGTCAGAGCCACGGAGGAGGTGGGTCATGGAGATGAAAGGAGAGATAACAGGCCGAGAGGCGAGGTGGGGGGGGGCGGGAGGGGGGGGAGGGAGCGTCAAGGAAATAGAGATCAGAGCCATGGCATCAGAGACGAAAGTAAGAGACAGGGCTGAGGTGATGGAGTCAAGGGCTGGAGACATCGGGGAATGGAGGCGGGGTCCGGGAGGAGGGCCCAGAATTTAGAGACTTCGAGGATCAGAAATGCTACCTGACCAGGGTAGCAAAGAGATAAACGTTAGGAAAAGAAAGAACTCAGTAGAGGTAGGGCTTGGGGAAGGAAGAGATGGCCCCCGGGGCAAGGAGCTGGGAGAGGGTGCTGAGACGGAGTGAAGACAGATGGAGAAAAACCAAGATCCTCAGGGAGGATAAATGAAGCAGAAACACAGACCATGAGTCTTGGGTTGAAGAGAGAAGCCATCACCAGCCTCTCTATGACCTTTCACTGTCCACCTGTCTGTGCCCAGGGAAGGGGTGGATAGGGAGAGGTGCCCAAGATCACTCCACCCTTGGGCTCAGGTGAGGTGCTGGGGAAGGGAAGGGGGTGTTCCTCTCCTCCTCTGGGTCTCACTAGGACCAGGCCCCAGCAACCTTCCAGAGAACATGCCCCTCACCTGCTGGGAATGCAGACAGGCCAGGAGGGGATACAGGAGTGGGGTCTGGGCCGGCTGGGGGTTCCATGTTTCAACATGGCGCTGGCGGGGGCCACGGGGAAGGGCAGCCCCAGGATGAGGAGACTGAACTGAGGGTTTGCAGAGAACTTGAAGCACATCAGCCCCGTTGGATCACGTGGCCCTTGCTTGGCCCAGAAGTCATCATTCTCAAGAGGAATCCCTTGTAAAGGAGTCAGCCCTGTGCTGGCAGACTCTTCACGGTGAGAAGAGAAAGGCAGAGCAAAGCCTTTGGGACTTCAGCTAAGACTCTCTGGGGCCCTGGGTTTCCCTGAACGGAGGCCGGTGGGGATGGGGGCCCCTGGGGGAGGAGAAAAGGGGAAGGAGGTGTCTGGGGATGAGGGGGCGGGGCTAAGAGCAGGAAATGAGCCGGGAACCACCATCACCCTCCCGGACTGAAGGCACCACAACCCAGAGCGGAGAAGAGGAAATGACAGATTGGGGTGGGGTAGGGTGGGGGGGTGGAAATCGTGCCCTTCTCTGGGAGGAGCTCAAAGGGGCACAAACAAGCTGGGCTGGGCCACCGGGATACCGGTGTTCAATTTCAAATCAAGGCGAAGTTTGTGAGTGGCCACTCCATGCGGGGATGAGCCCGGAGTGGGCCCCCGTCCTCCTGGCCTCTGAGCCCCTCCAGGGAACTCAGGGAGGCAGCCGACAGGCCCCACACCCACCTCCTTGCACCCTGCACCCCTGCCCTCCGACCAGCCTCGGGGCATCTCTCTGACCCTTCCCGCAGCCCACATTTCAGCCGCTTCTGCCCTCGCCCCTCCACTCCCAACCCAAACCCGCTCCTCCTTTGCACAGGGAGAGTCACAGAGACTGGCAGAGGGAGATGCCAACCCACACCCTCACCTGCGGCCCGGCAAGGCTGCAGAGGGCCCCAAGCCCTGTGACCAGGGCCCCGGAGTGCTCTCCTCCAACCAGGAAACCCCCGTGCGCCCCAGCGCCACCCTCAAACTCTCCTGACACACTTCTGTCCCCTTTCATTCAGACCCAAGGCCCATCCATGGGCCCTTTCGCCATTCGTCCCCTGGCCCTGGCCCTGTCCCGCCGCCTCCCGTCCCCAGCAGTGATGCCTTCCCCTCTCTCTTGCCTACGCCTCTCGGTCTCCCAGCTCTCCGGCCTCCCCACCCACAGGTAGTTACACAAGGGGGCTCCCCTGTCTCCTCTGCCGCCGAGCCACATTTCCTGCCGCGCCTGCTTGACAGCCGCCTGGGCGCTGACCCCGAGCCACTGCCCCTTCGCCACGGGCACCTGGGAGCTGCCTCCGTCCCTGAGGCTGGACCGGGCTGGAGAGGCTCCGGGCCCCCCACCCAACAGCAGCCCTGAGCCACCTCCTTACCCTCCTGGCCGGAACGCTGCAGCTGCTCCTGTAAGTCGCACCCAAACACCCTCTCCTTGGAGCTGCCCTTTTTCTTCCCTTTCTGCCGAGACTTCATGGCTGGAGCCCCCAGGTCCTGGCCCAGCCACCTCTCTGCCCCCCAAGACCTTTGCCCTACCGGTCCCCCATAGGCTCCCAAGCCAGTCTTTGGGCTTGGCCCGGCCCCAGGGGGCAGGGCTCCGAACCAGGGCGGGGTGGAGGGTGGCCTGGGCCACGGGCCGCAGCTCGCGCCTCTGGGGGCCCCGGCCACACGGAAGCGGCCGTGGAAGAGGAAGCCGCCAGGACCCTGGCAAGAAGCTGTGTCTCGTGGCCCAGGCTGGCACTCGCCCCTCCGGCCCTGCTCAGCCCTGGGGGAGCAGGAAGCCGTGTGGCTCCTCAAACCCGCTTCCTGTTAGAGCATCTTTGCAACCACAGGGCCTGGGGTGGGGGAGGCAGCCGACATTCACATCCTCAACCCAGCGCTGGGACTTCGCTCATTGGTCAAGGGGAGGTGATGTCAGAGCCCCGGGGTGGGGTGGCGGCGCCTGGGGCGTGAGCAGGTGCCTGACACCCTCGGAGATCAGAATTCGGGGCTCCGAGGCGGAGACAGGGGGCCGGCCTGAGAGCGAGGTGGCACAGGGCCGTGCGGAGCCCCCAGGAGGATGCCAGGCTGGGCCCCTGGCGGGCCTATGACGAGTCCCATTACCTCGCTGAGCCTGTTTCCACACATGTGACAAGGAAAGGGGTGAACTAGGTGATTTCTAATCCTTCCAGCTCTTTCCACGGAACTCATTGGAGGGCCAGCTTCTTTGTCTGGAAAGAGCGTGCACAGCATTCTGCCTCCCAGGCCCATTTTGGTGACGCTGGGGCACGACACAGGATTGACAACAGGGCGCACAAGGGCGCCGGCTGTCCCAGAAGGACCCGGGGACTCTGGGAGACGGCAGAGGGCCTGGCGGGGACACGTCTTTCCCCTTTACCTCCCAGCCACAGACACGCTCTCTCCTGCCCTACTCGGGGCCGCAGGGAGGACGATGCAGAGGGAGAATCGAGTGGTTCAAGGCTTACACAGCTCAGGGGCAAGACAGGAACCAGGCAGAACAGCTTTTATCTGTTTATTTAAAAACAGAATGTCATTTTATATACAAATATGCACATATTTACACAAAATGTACACACTAGGACCCCAGATCTTTGGGCTCCACATCCAAAGTCCTGAGCTGGCCAGGGAGCAGGGGGTGAAATCCAGCTGTTTCCGGGCCAAGTGGGGTTTGGGTACAAAATCTAGGCATTCTGGCTGAGTGTGTTTCGGGTGGGCAAGGCAACGGTGGACCGTATCTAACCCCAGCACCCCCCCCAAAACTTCCAAAAGAGCCCCAAGCTAGTGACCCAGAGTTCCCTGGGGGAAAGGAGACATTCTTGCCTCCAGGGGCAGCTTTGCCCCACCTGACCCCCCCCCTCCCCTGCTCTGTAATCACGACCCTTCCTCCCTTACACCACCTGTGAACCAGGAGCCCTTGTCACCCAGTCCCCGCACCCCCCCCCCCAAGGGACCACAAACAACTGGGGACGCAACTAAGAGAAAAGACGCAGTGTGGAAGGGACCGGGGAGCCTCTAGGGCCAGGGACCCCACCCTGTCCTCCTGCAGCCCCTGACCGAGGGGCTCACACTGTTGACTCAGACTCCACAACTCCAGGCTCCCTCCCAAGAGGCTGCCTAAATTAAAGTGTCTTAGCAGGAACACCTTTCAGAACCATGGGCGTTGGCCCCCTGCTGGGGTCTGAGCACAGTCTCTCAGGAGGGGGGTGGCTGACCAGTGGCTGACTCCCAGGGTTGTCGGCTAATCATACTCCAAGCAGTCCAAGCAATAACAAACATCCAGAGGCAGCGCAAATTTTCTTTCAAAGACAATTTGAAAGAAATTCAAAATTTTGTGTCTCGTATTAAAGTATTCGGAGCAGTATTCCCTACAGAGACTCCCCCAGCAGGTCTATTTATAGAAAATAGGCAGGTGCAGCAGGGCCCAGAGGCCACCAGAGGCCACCAGAGGGCCAGGGGCTTCTTCCTGAACAGGGTTAGCCTGGCAGGCCGCTGAGCTGGCCGTTCACACTGGCCCCTGCTGGCTTTCAAGTGGAGGGAGCCCAGCTCCCCAACTCAGAGGAGGCCAGAATCCAGCTCCGGCCCGTGCACCTGGGTCTGGCCCACCGTCTCCACCTCTCGCCTCCAACCTCTGCGTCATTAATACTGCTCTGGGGTCCGAGGAGATAACCTGTGCTTACGGGTAGAGGTCACGCAGCCACACGACGCGCCAGCAAACCCACCGCAGTTCACTTGGACGCTGACATGAAGCACGGGCACATCACCCCCGCACACGCACAAGGTCAGCGAACGCTCACACATGCACACGGTGATCTGCGTGCATGCGCACACCCGCGCGCACACACACACACACACACAGGGAAGGACTCAACCAGCAGAGCCCCCCCCACACCTTGGTCGAACAGAGGGGCTGGAGGAACAGGTCGAGCAGTCGGGATGGGGAGCATCTTCCTGAAGAAATAGGGTGTTTAGAGAGCCCCCTCTCCCCGAACAGAAATCCCCAGGTCAGCAGAAGGAGCCAGGCTTAGGGGACGGAGGCAGGCCTGGGTCAGACCAGATGCCCCCGCCCATTGATGTAGATGCCATTGCCCGTGGGTTTGGCCCGCAGGGTCCCGTTCTCTTGGACGAAATGGTTCATGGCCTGTTTGATGCCTTCGTCCCGATCTTCCTCCTCCTCTGCCCGCCCGGAGCCTGGAGACAGCAGTTCAGTCTGGGTTTCAATCTCCCTCACCGTGGTCAGCGTCGAGTAACTACGGCCCTCCGGCTCTTCGCTCTGGACGCCAAGGGCAGAGGGCAAGTCAGGACCCGAGGCAGGGGAGCCAGACGGGAGGGGGGCCGGGTGGGGAGCCGTAGGGTCAGAGGTCAGGGGCTCAGACGCGGGGGGGCCAGGAATGAGCGTCAGGCGCGGAGCGGGGGGGAAGGAGAGCCACAGGTGAACAAAGGCACGGCCAAGGTGCCGGCCCGAGACAGAGGGTCTGGTGAGGGGCGGCTGGCGCGCCACATCCCCGAGCAGGAGAGGAGCCTGAGGACAGTGGTGGGGACGCCGGTGGGGCCGGGGGGCCTCACCATCACAGAGCAGCTACTGTTGTCCTTGAGACTATCGGGGTGGCCCTCGGCTCTCAGCCCTACACTCTCCTCCGGCTGTGGGGCCCGGACATGGGGGAGGAGTCAGAACAGGGCTCAGCCTCCTCCGTCATCACCTCTCCCCCCACCCGACTTGTCCACCTGTCTGCCTGTCTGCTCTCCCTGACGCCCGTCCTCGCCCCCCCACCCGGCCCCACCCTGGAACCAGGGCTGACGGCGGCTTCCCCGAGCAGCCCCGGGGGCCAGTGCTAAAGGGGGGCCAGGTGGACCCAGAGTGGACCCCAAAACAGCCCTACCCCCAGCCCAAGCCGCGAGTCAGTGGCCAGACCTGGCCGAGGGCTGTCTGTCCTCCTGGTCTGCAGAAGGGCCCCCCGAGCCCCCCTTCCCCCCACCTCTCTTCCCCACCCTTCCCCTCCCCCAACCCGCTCCCAGATGCACCCGACCTTGGCACACACCTGGCTCCTGGGGTCCGAGTGATGGGAGTGCAGCCTCCGGATGGAGTTCTCCCGGGTCAGGGTCAGCTCCTCCTCACTGGGAAAGACACACCCTTGTTAGGAGCTGAGGGTACTGGTGGCTCCCAAGGTGGGCAGGCCGACAGCCTATGTGAGCCGGGGCTGGAGGGTGTGGGGGCTGTGCTGTCCCCCCCCCCCCAGTGTGAGTGAGTGGCTGCAGAGCGTGGATCTGGGCCTCCCTCCCCACTCAGCTGTGGCCCCAGCGCCCCTGGCTCCCCGAAGGACCCTGCCCAGCTCCGGTCCATGAGCTCCCCAGCCGTCAGCACCCCCCCCCCGCCCGCCTCCCCTCTCTCCTGGGTGCCGGGGCCCCCACCTCCCGCTCCGCCCGGCCGGCTTTGCCCCCAGCTTAGCTCCGCCCCCCCACCCCCCCACCCCGAGTGGCCACGACTCACTATTTCTGGGTCATCTGCTGAGCCTTGCGCCGATGGTACCGGGACATGAGCACCACCACCACCACCAGCAGGAGGAACAAGAGTGCGGCGATCACGCCCACCACCACCACTGAGGCCGACACCAGGTTCACCTGCTTCCCGGGGGCCTCCTGCGGGTCTGCGGGAGACAGGCCTCGGTCTGGGGTGGCTGCCCACACCCCCGCCCTCCCCCACCCTGCCCCCGTGTCCTCCCAACACTCCCCCCCAGCCACTCCCGCAGCCCGGGCCTCGGGGAAAAAACCCCGGCCCCCCCCCCCCCCCCCCCCCACCGGCTCCCGTCCCCAGCTCACCCTCTCTGTCTGTCACCATTGCGCCTCCGGGCTCTCGGCCGGGCCCCCCCGCCCCGTGTCTGCCCCGGTGCTCACCAAGGATGTCCACAGTGACCCGGGAATCCCTCGAAGAGAGCTCATTGCTGACGTGGCACACGTAGATGCCGCTGTGCTCGGGGGTCAGCGGAGGAAAGCCCAGAGTGTCCCCTTCCGCTCGCACCCCGCTGGGCAGAGGCCCGTCCAACCTGGACGACAGGGAGGCTGCGGCGGCCTGAGGCTGCCCCCACCCAACGTGCCCGGGCAGCTCTCCCCTCCCGCCCCCGTGACGTCACCCGAGCCGCTGGCTGTTCCCACGGTGCCCCTCCCTCCCCCGGGCAGGGTTGGGAAAGGGCCCCTCCCCCCCGCCCCCCAGGCCGCCCCGGGCCCCCCCCCCCCCCCACACACACACACACGCGTCACCCGGCACTGGGTACCAGGTAGACACGGTATGAGGTCCACACCGCAGGACACCCCGTCCCTCTCTGGGCTCAGACGGACTGGGAGAGTGTGACCGCACGCCCCAACACCCACGACATTGCGTGGCAGGGGACCTGAACGGAGCCCGGGGCACGCACGAGGCCACACGCACGGTTCATCCGCTCACGTGTGAGAATGTGCCTGTCGGGGGCTCACACACATGTGCACCTGACCCCCCCCCCCAACCCCCTGGACACCTGAGACCCGGGAAAAAGCCAAGGAACCGGCAGAGGCGGGCGGCTGGCACTTCTAAGGTGCTTACAAGGGTCTTACAAGATCACAGCAGTGCCTTTTTGTCCTCTCCGCCTCAGGTACTCACGTAAACATATAAAACATTAATATTTAAATCTTGCGCTATGTCTCACGTTTGAAGAGTTAGGGGGAAAAGCCAAGGACTTACTAGCTTGTTCCCTCCCAACGACCGCGTGCCTCGTGGGCCCCCGGGTGCAAGCCAATCGTGATATTTGGTGACCATGCGTATTCTTGAGTGGGCCTGAACACGTGCCCCACTTTATCCGGGGTCCAGAATATACTGTCCCAGCCCCTAATGAGGACACGGCAGCCCTGCGAGGGAAGGACCCTGGCCGCAAGCGAGGCCCTCCCCCCGGGCCAGGCCCTTACCGTGTCCAGTTGTACGAGGGAGAAGGGTATCCCTCGCTCAGGCACTTGAGGGTAGCCCCTTCTCTGCCCACCTGCCACAGCTTTTGGTCTTCGAGGCCCCTCACAGAGGCCTCGGTGAGGACTGGAGTGGGAGGAGGGAGGAGGAAGAAGGGGAATGAGGCTTTCCATCATCTGCTCCTCCAGGGGCCCCCTGCTCGGGCCCCACCCTGCCCTTCTCTGTCCTTCTCATCTGCTTCCAAACCCAGCCCAGCCCAGCCTGGCCGCCGGGTCCTGGCCCCCCGGCTCCCGCGTGGAGCTCTGAGCTCAGAGCCCAGTGTGGTTTGTCTGGGCAACGAGCCTAGAAGTCCCTCAGCAAAGAGTCATGCTTTTTCAGAATCCCCTGTGGTCCCCGGCATAGTGCTAGTCACGGAACAGGTGTTCCGTCAATGCTCCCTGATTCTCCAAAGACGTAACGATCCTACTTGTCTGTACGTTTCCTTGACAAACATTTGTCGAGGGCCTACTTGGTGCCAAATGCTGGGTTCGTATGAATAGAAAACAGCCCTGTGCCCGGAGAGGCTCTGAGCTTAGTGCTGGGAAAACGGTATCCGCTGCGGACGGAGGACCATTCAAGCACTCAGCATCGTGTGAGATGCTTCGCGTTCGTGGTTTCTAATTCCCATCGGAACCCTGTAAAGTTCGTATAATTATACTCCTGCCGCGGAGGAAAATGAAGACGGACAAGATTGACTAACAGCCGGTGCACGGCAGAAATAGGGCTTGTCCGACCAGAACCAGGGTCAAGCTGTGGGGCCCGAAGCTGTCTCTCTTCATGTGCGTCACAAAGTGCTTTCAAGTCTGTGTTTATACCGGATTCTCCCAACAACCCTGTGGCATAGGACAACCCCCTTGGTAAACAGGACACCAAAGGCCAGAGAGGTCTGAGCGATCTGTCAAGGTCATCCGGGACGGCCTCCTGGTCTTCTACCTTTGCACTAGGGGTCACAAGGCCGCCTTTCACGATCCAGCCTGGCCAGACTGGTGAGTCTCTACCCAAGATCCAAGTACTCACAGGCCACTTGGAGGATGTGGGTGATCCTTTGGTCCTGCAGCAGGCCCGGATGGGACACCACGCAGGTGAGTGGCTGCCCGTTCATGCTGCGGCTGGGCACCAGGTGGAACTCCGAAGTGACAGCAGCTGAGCGGGAGTGCTTGAAGGAGCGGCTGGTCGCGGTGCCCTTGACCTCTGTGTCCCAGGTCACGCTGGGGGCTGGGCTGCCCTCTGCTGTGCAGGAGGCTGCCAGCGTCAGGCCCTGGCCTTCTTCTAGCGCCGGACCAGGGTTCAGGGAGGGCAGGGGAGGCACTGCAGGCGGGGAGGAGGCAGGGGTCACAGTCTGCACACCCGTCAGGAGGCCCTGGCCCGTCCCAGCTCGGTCTTGCAAGGAAACATTTTCAGGCCCTGTTCGTTGTCTTATCTCACCAACGTGGACGCCACCAGATGAGTGGTAGGCTTTCAGCTTTCTCCATTGTTTTGATCTTTAAAATTTTTTTTACAATGAGCAGGGATCATTTTTTAATAAGAAATGATGAAGTAAATAAAGAGCTGACCAGACAACATCTCTGTCCTAATAATAATAGCCAGCACTTAGTGAGCACTTATTATGTGCCGGGTATCGTGCTAAACACTCGATCGATGTTATCTCATTAATCCTGCCGGCGGGCCAGCGAGGTGGGCATCCCTACCCCTGTTCTACAAGTCAGGACACCGGCGCGTTGGGGAGGTTAGAGGATTTGTCCCAGATGGTCAGCTGTTGGAGGATGGGGCCCAGATTCACACTCAGGATTTTCACCCCCAAGGCTAGTGTTACTAAGTTCCACGCAGATAAAGGGAAACTGAAGAAGGTTCTTTGTTCCTATCTTCTTGACATGAACAGCTCAAGCACAAAATGCAAAAGCCTTAAGTAGACCATAGGTCTAGGGCATCCATCGACCACAAGAGCCCACAGCGCAAAATGGTGGTTTAAAAGAAAGGTGGGGGCGCCTAGGTGGCTCAGTCGGTTAAGCGTCTGACTTGGGCTCAGGTCACGATCTCACTGTCCGTGAGTTCGAGCCCCGCGTGGGGCTCTGTGCTGACCGCTCAGAACCTGGATCCTGTTTCAGATTCTGTGTCTCCCTCTCTCTCCGACCCTCCCCCATTCATGCTCTGTCTCCCCCGTCTCAAAAATAAATAAAACGTTGAAAAAAAATTAAAAAAAAAAAAAAAGAAAGAAAGAAAGGTGATGGTGAGGGGCGCCTGGGTGTCTGAGTTGGTTGAGCGTCTGCCTCTTGACTTTGGCTCAGGTCATGATCTCACGGTCTGAGATCGAGCCCCGCATCAGGCTCTACCCTGACGGTGCAGAGCCTGCTTGCTTGGGACTCTCTGTCTCCTCTCTCTGCCCCTCCCAGGCTGGTGCACACGCTCGCTCGCTCTCTCTCTCTCTCAAAATAAACAAATAAACTTAAAAATAAAATAAAGTGGGGCACCTGGGTGGCGCAGTCGGTTAAGCGTCCGACTTCAGCCAGGTCACGATCTCGCGGTCCGTGAGTTCGAGCCCCGCGTCGGGCTCTGGGCGGATGGCTCAGAGCCTGGACCCTGTTTCCGATTCTGTGTCTCCCTCTCTCTCTGCCCCTCCCCCGTTCATGCTCTGTCTCTCTCTGTCCCAAAAATAAATACAACGTTGGAAAAAAAATTAAAAAATAAAAAATAAAATAAAGTAAAATAAAAGGTGATTGTGATCTCCAGCCACATTCACTGAAGGTCCAGACCAGGAAAGGTATGAGCCCCACTGGTCAGGCACAGCCACGCCCGTTGGGGGCTGGGTCCCTGTGGTCCATATCTCGGCCCCACATTTTAAAACCGTGGATGGCCAGGGAGGCTGCGAAGGAGTGCCTTTGGTAGAACCACTGCGGGAACTAGTAAGTGTAGCTTCCAGAAGAGGAGACTGGGGGCTGGGGTGGGCGTGGGGGATGGCAAAGGTCCTCAGCTCTTTGAAAGGCTCGCGGGCAGAGGAGAGAATGAGCCTGTGCCACCTTGCTTTGGAGGGCGACAGCGACCAGGGAGGGTGGTGCAAGTCAACAGAAGAATGTTCTATTACGTGGACTCTTCCCCCAGGCTGACCGCTGTGTGCGTGGCAAGCTGCTGAGGTCACTCGGAGGGAATTTCTGGATTGGGTGGGAGGATGGACTGCGCCGGGCTCCCTCACCCCTACGGGACCCCACCTCTTACTCCCGCTCGCCCGCTGCCCCACGCCTCTCGGCGCCCCCCACCCCTGCTCTCGCCTGCGAAGCCGCGGGCGAGGGCCTGGTGGCGCTGTGCGCCCCGCACCCCACTTACCCAGCACGCGGAGCCGCAGCCGCGTCTGGAAGCTGCCTGCGGGGAAGGTGCTGACGCGACACTCGTACTCGCCCTCGTCGGCCTGCACCGCGTTGCGCAGGAGCACGGCGCCGTCCAGGGGGCTGCGTGGAGGCGGCGGCTGCTCCACGCGGCCGTCGTAGGCCGCGCTCACGTGCAGCCCGTACTTGGAGTGCAGCAGCGCGAGCTCCCGGGCGCCCTCGCCCGCGTCCACCCGAGCCCACGCCACCTGCCCCACCTGCTCGCCGGGCTCCCCTCGGTAGAAGCAGGGCAGCTTGGCGTCCTGGCCCAGCACCACGGTCACCGGGTCCGAGGTCTCCAGCTCGCCCGCCCGGCAGCGGCCTGCAGGGGGCAGACAGGAGCAGCCTAGATTAGGGGCCCGGCGGGGCCCCCGGGGGGGGGGGGGGGGGGGAGGACTTCCTGATGCAGACGCCCGGGGGCGAGGAGGCCACCGGAACTCCTGGAGCACTTTCTGCTTGCCAAGCGCGTTCAGTCCATTACCTCATTAGATCCACACAGCATTCCCGAGGTGGGCGTTATTATCGCCATTTGACAGATGAGGAAACTGAGGCCCAGAGAGAGGAAGTGACTTGCCTAAGGCCACGGGGACGCCGGGTGGGAGAGCCACACCCTCTCCCAGCCCAGGAGTGTGTCCTGAGCCACCGAGAGGAGGCGAGAGGCGGGAGGCTGCAGCTGGAGAGAGCCAGCCTCCGCCCTCAGGGAGTTCCCAGTCCTCTCACGGAAATGGGTTTTGGGCGCAGAGACCGGGGAAGCCCTGGGCAAACTTTCACAGAAGGTTCAACCCACCAAGGAGGGGGCGGGGGCGGGGGCGAAAGTGAACGCTTTCAGGAAGTGTGGCCAGGAGACGAGGCAGGGATGGAAGGCAGCTGGCGGCTGGGATGGGGCATGTAGGGGGCGAAGGAGCCCTTCGGAACATTCTTTTCATGGCTTCAAGATGACCGATCTGGATTCCCAGAGAGCAGGCCTTCTCTGTGGGAGGAATGGCCGCAACGGAGGCTCAGAGACAGGTATGACAAGTCACTGAAGACAGAAAGGCCCCAGGTCAGAAGCCCAGAGAGATGAGGTCAGGGCAGACACCCAGCGACAGGGTCAGAACGGTGGCGAGCGACCCGGAATCAGAGAGGCAGAGACGGGGACCAGCAGGGAAGGGCGAGCGTTCTGTGCATCGACAAGGACAGCACGCAGCACCCAGGGGCATCTATCAGGTCACCTCGTTTTCAAAGAAGGATCCCTTTCCTGTCTTGTCCTCATGGAACCTGAGGTCTGGAGACACATTTTGTGGACGTGTATGGAAAGGCGTGACGGTCTCTGATTTAGTGCTCAGGGTGTGTTGCAGGCCACTTGGGGGATGGGACAGTCACCGTGGACCCGAGTCTGCGGGAGGGCCTCGTGCATGAGTTGGGTAGGACCAGGAGGGGGAGACCCCGGAAAGGGATTCCAGGTGAGGGACCCAGAGAGGTGGAGAGGCTGGCTGGCTCAGGAAGCAGGGTGGAAAGAACGCACCTAAGGCAGGCGGTATGCGTCCAACAGGACAGGTACGCGTGCTTGGGCCTTGCACACCAGGGGAAGGAACTCATGGGGAGCCATCACTGTGGCAAGAGGCCAGTGGCTGTGTGCCCTCCGGCTGGAAAGCAGGGAGACTGAAGCCCCGAGACTCTCTAGGAACCCTTCATGCTGTGGGACAGGGAGGAGGGGACGGTCCTGGAGGACCCTCGGCAGGATTTGATCACTGACCAGAGAGAGAGAGAGAGAGAAAAGAGAGGCCGGACAAAGACAACTCCTACGGGTTCCAGGATGAGTGATGTAGGAAGGGGGGCGGGGCCTGGGGAAACTCATGGTCCAGGAGGAATAAATAAATTCGTGGAATAAGGCATGTGAAACGCAGGGCTGGGGGCAGAGGGAGGGTTCTCTCTGGGAAGCCAAGAGCTCTCTGCCTTGGGATGTATATCCAGCAACTCCCCGCAGCGCGCAGCCCCTGCCTCTGGCCACACATGCCTGGCTCACCCGGGCCCCTCCCGGGAGGTGCTCCTCCCGGTGTCTGGAGGGATGACTCCTACTCAGCCTTAGACTCCGCTTAGACAACGCTTCCTCCGCCACCCCACCCCCACCTCAGGCAGAATGAGGGGCCCTCGCTCCCTCCTGCCCTAGCGCCCTGCTCTGACCTCACCACCGTACTGTATCCCCCCTGGATTGCATTTGGGCGCTTCCTGTCTGCCTGTCCCGCTGGACGGAGCTGCCCAAGAGAAGAAGCTGGGTCTCACATCACATAGGGAAACACGGTTTTCTGACTTAGGGCTCAGTGGCAGGTGGTCTGCCTTCTTGGCACATAAGGGGACCTCGGTGAATGTTTATTGAATGAATTGAATGTTTATTGAATGAATGTTAATGAATGAATGAATGACAGAGAGAGAGAGACAGGGAGAAGAAGGAAAAGGTAGAGCGAGCAGGAATGAACCTTGGGCTGGGCTGGGCAGACAGGGAGGGGGTTGGCATGGCAGCCTGGGGTGGAGGCAGGCTGGGCTGGCTACCTGGGTTCGATGCCAGAGGGAACAGCTCTGACCGTGCACAGGGAGAAGGCCGGGGCTGGACGGGGCAGTTATGGAGGGAGGAAGTGGTCCACTCGGGTGGACCAGAGGGCTCCGGGGAGGCTGAGCATAGGCCAGAGGAAGGGGGTCCCGTGACCCTGTGAGCAGGGGCGGAGGGAGGGAGGGTGCTGTCGGGAGCTGGGAGGACCCGAACGGGACGGGACAGACCTGCAGGGCCAGATACCGGGGCCCTGACCTGCCTAAGCTGGTGTCGGTCCCACCCAGCCCGGCCTGGGAGTCCGGCTCACCACCCGCACCCCTCCTTGGCAGGGAGCAGGGCTGCCAAGGAAGGGCTGGAGGTGGGCTGGAGATGGGGGCTCAGCCCCCAGCACATCCTCTGCTTCAAGCACTGGTTTCCACAGGCACAGGGGTCACAAGCCCTGCTCCGCTGGGACACTCAGACCCTTCTACGGGACACCGTCGGATGGCGTATTTCCCATCCTTATCCCTATGCTTGCCAACCATCCGGCCCCTCTCCACAACGCATCGCCCATATTTTCCCCAACATACGTCTCCCTTAGGGCACAACAGACCATATGCCTGCGTCGCGGTCCTCTGCGTCCCTCCCCGTAAGTCCAAGATCCCCACCGCCGAGCAACAAGCCCATGCTTCGCAGGATGAAGAACCCAGCAAAACAGCAGAGCCCTTTCAGGATCTCTCCCACAGCCCCGCATTGTCCTAAGTCCCCTATTCACCAGGAGCATCACAGCTTCACACACACACACACACACACACACACACACACAGGGGCTGCAACAGAAGGAGGAGAGAACTTGGGCTCTAGAATCCCCATCCTGGACTAAACTGGACCCAGAAGCCCAGACTCCCAGGCCAGGGCAGGCCGGCCCTGCCTCCTCCCTCTCTCCCCCACCCAGTGCCCGCCTGGCGTCAGCATGATGATGTCACCAGAGCGAAGGAGACACGCCGCCTGCCTGGTGAGGTCACCCCGCGGGCATGTAGTTGCCAGGCCGGGCCAAGCCCACGGACCCTTTTGCTGCGAACTGTTCGCCGAGGCTGGTGGACTCTGCTGGCTGGGCACTCCTCCCTCTGACCGTCCCCACCCCTCCTCCCGGGAGCACAGGACGCTGGTCAGGAGCCCTGGTGATTCAGATGCCGCCACAGAGCAGCAGGCCCAGCCACAGCCGCCACCAGCCACCACCTTGCGCAAGGAAAGAACAGGCCCAACTGGCCAGACGGGATCCCTGCCCTCGGCCTCCCCACCCCTGGCCAGGCCCCCACGGGCCTCTTTGGGGCCCTGCCCTCTGTGTACCCCGCCCGCTCCCAGACAGGCCCTCCATTCCTGGTCTGGGTTGGCTGCCTGGGTCCCAGCTTTCCTCTGTGTGGGGGGCCTGGCCTCCGATCTCAGGAGGGGAAACTGAGGCTAGCAGCTGCAGATAACAGCGTCGTTGGGGAAGGAGGCTTTCCTTTGTGAGGGGCCTTTCTCCCTCAGTATCCCTGCATCTAGGGGTCCTGACGATGAGTCTGTGCATGGGTCTTTTGCGTGTGAATGTCTGATGACTTTGGGAGAGGGCCTGGCGGGTGTAAGTGAGGCCGACTCCTTGCTGAACTTGGGGGTGTTTTGCACTTCTAAGCGCTCACGTGTTATCGTTAGGAAGGTGTCCGTGCTCGCCTGCCTCCAGAGACAAGAGCCGCGGAGTGGTCTGTGTGCAAGCGTGGGTGCGGACACTGTTCCGTGTGCGTGTGCGCACATTGTTCCGTGTGCGTGTGCGCGTCCGCGTGCGCGCTCCCGTCCCGCGGGACTCTGAACACAGGGTAAATGTTTTGATGCTGGTCCTATCTGGCTTCCACGTGTCTGTCTGTCTTAGCTGCCCATGGTCAGTGGTGGGTTGGCTCTGCCCCTTCGCCTCTGTGGCCCGTCTGGAGCGGAGCCAGGCACCCCTCCCCACCTCACCCCAGACTTGAGGGCAGATTCATCTCAGGCGGAGGTACCCAGAGATGAGGTCACTGCCCCTCCAGGTGATGGGAAACTGCCGTCAAGGACTCCTCAGCAGAGCAAAACAGAGGCTCACCCTCCCCTGGCTCCTCGGGCTCCTGCTAGAAGGACTCCCCCCCCTCCCCCGACCCCCCAACCACCTCCCTCGGCCCCCCAGGAGGCCTCTCCCTGGGAATCTCTGTCAGGCCTCTGCTGCTGCCACCACCAGAAAAACCAGCTCTAGCTCCGGGCCTGGGGTGAGGGTTGTCTGGTGTGGGTTTGGTGGGAAGGGAGGGGCGGGGGGGGGGGGGGAACTCCTGCTTAGGGCTAGGGGGAGGGGTCCAAGCGGTCCAGGGGCTCAGGCTCCTTTGTTAACTCTTGCCTCCCCTCGCCCCACAGTGGCAGCCTCTACCAGACAGAGCTGGAATGGGTGGGAGTATTTGGGGTAAGAAAGAACCTGGGAGGAGCCCTGAAGCCCCCCATTCAAGACAGGTGACATCAACCACCCAGCAAGCCCTTTTTTTCTTCCACCCTTCCTCCCATAACCTTGGCCTTGGAGGTGCTAAGGAGCTTGGAAAACCAGGAGACTCTCCGTCTGCCTTCATCCACGTCCCTCACTTGGCCCCCATCGTCCTAAGCCCCCCAGCTTAGTGACAGCTTCCCAACCCGGGCAAAGTGCCCACCCACAGATTAGTGTCTGGGGAGGGGGGCCACACCAATCACAAAGGCAGCTGAGAACAATGGGGGGAGGACAGGCCTTGAGGCAGCCCGGCTCTGGCCCAGACACAGCTCCCAGCACAGATAAGTCCCCTAAACCCCCCCGGAGCCAGAGTCTGAGCCCGGCTGAGTCACCACAACAGCCACACTGTGGGTGGGAGACCCAGAATTCAGCTTCTCCCAAACTCCTGAGATCTTAGCCACCCTGCACCCCTAAATCCTGCCAGCCACCTCCCCCCAAAGTGGGGGCCAGCTCTGCCCCACCCCAAATCAACCCAGCTCTCAGGACACCAGTTACAAAGGCAAGCGAGGAGGGGGTGGCCAGAAGACTCTGGGAAAAGTTCCTGGGGCCAGAGGCTCCCCGTCCCAGAGAGAGAGACGATCCAAACCACCTCCTTCACAGCCCTCCTCTACGAGGCTTGGTGGCCCGGCCCCAGTTCTGAACTTGACCTTCGCGTGTGGTTTTAGATTCAGCCCCTAGGCTCCTGTCCTGCCTTCCCTCCTGACTCAGCTCCCCACCCCACCCCCAGCCTTCTACTCTGCTAGCCTTTGGTCAGTGCTAGAGTAAGCTTTGGAGGCCGCAAAGCCCAGGCAGTCTCTCCTCACGAGGCCTAGCTCCCTACAGTGGCTGTCCTCCTCAGCCTGGAGGACTCCAGGGCCCCGAGATGATGCTCCAGAAGCTGGGACGGTGCGCTGTGCCACAAACTCCTCACCGCCATCTCTGTAGCTGGGGTCCTCTGAGCCCAGCCCCGGCGAAACACCCGGGTGGGACCAAGGTCACTGGGGCCACGGGGCTTCCCTTGTGATTCTCCTAGTCCCCGCTACCTTGGGTGGGGAAGCTTCCCTTTCTGGCTTCCCTGGGTTAGGGTAGGTCCTGCAGGAAAGGGCCTGCCCCCCTCTGTAAACAGGAACAGAAAAGCAGGGATGGGGGCCCCTCCCTTTCTAGGAAACTAACCTCAGGTAGAAAGCCGATCCTAATCCTTGGAGGGCACAGAATTCTGGGCAACCCCCCCCCCCCCCCCAACACTCTGGCCCTACAGGACCCGATTGGGTCCAGACAAAGAGCTAGAAACTAGCATCCCACTGGAGGGTAGTCTGTAGATTTGAGCCCGTCGGCTGCAGGACAGGAGATGGAGGGAGTAGGGAGGGGACCTTACCCGGAAATTCATCCCATTAAGGAGAGACAAAGAGCTGTGGTGTCAGACGCCTCCCAAGCCTGGGCTCCTCTCCCTGTCAGGGGTGGGGCAGGGCCCTGGGGCTCAGAGCTCTAATGACCCAGGAGTTGGGGGGAGGCACTGATTTGCAGCAGGGCAGGGGCGGAAGGCAGCATCCGGCATAAAGCTACCTTGGTCCCCACTGAGAGATGGGCCAGGACCCTTCCCCCCGCCATCACCGCAGCCAGACTGACCGCCTCTTCCTGCACCCAGCACCCCCCTTCGGGCAGCGGCTGGACAGGCACACCGCCACAGGACTGCAGAGCCGGAAGGCCCATAGAGATCCCGGGGTCCCACCTCGTGGGCTGCCGAAGTCTACGTTCTTAGTTGCCAAAGGTCACCTAGCAAATGGAGACCAGAAATGGGGCCACAACGCAAGCCTCCGAACTCCCAGCCCAAAGCTCTTTTGGAGGCAAGACCTCCGGCTTTCTGGGGGCTTCCACAGAGAGGAGCCAGAAGGGGGGGGGGCGGCAGTGGATGTGGTCGTCAGGCTGGGAACCTGGGGCCCGCGCTGCAGGCCTCAGAGCACCCTCCAGCTCTGTGCAGGTCCTCGCAGCCATGGCGGGGGCGGGGGGGGGGGCTCACCGGGCCCCAGTTACCCCGGATAATTCTGGAGTTAGGGTGCCCCCATAGCCATGGCACCTGTCCATCGGGCATTGGGCGAGGTCGGGGTGATGCCCTGACTGCAGGAGGTCTCCTCTCCCCGTCCCTGGGCTTCTCTTAGAACAGCCTCACGTCCTGGAAAAAGAAGGCAGGACCACGTCCTGTTTGCCACCTCATCTCCAGCATTTAGTCCCCTGGCCGTGCCCCGTGCACACTCAGACCTACCAGCCTTTAACAGACCGGAGGCTGGGACACCCGGACACTCGCCCTGGTCTTGCTGCTAACACTGAGTCGTCTTGAGACGTCGCTTGCCTGTTTGTCTCAGTTTTGCTGTCTGTAAAATGAGGCAGTTAGAGCGGTGGCCTCTCTGACCCTTTCCGTGTCCTGAGACATTGTGGCTCCGTTCTTCAAGGGTGGCCAGGTCCCCCAGAAAAGCGGCTGCTGAGTTCTCTGGCCCCAGCGACCAGACCCCCACCCTCTGGGCCTGAGCAAGTGAGGAGGGTTGTCTGGAAGGTAGGAGTTAAGGCAGGGGTGGAAAGCAGAGGGGTTGGAGCTCAGGACCCTGTGACTAGAGACTGGCTGATGCCCTTGCATCCCCCTCCACTATAAGATCAGACAGGAGCAGTGGGCCCCCCCCCCCGCCCCCCATCTGTGCCTCATGCTCCTGACCGCTTCAGCTGGTGACAGAGAAGGAATCCCTGCCGGGCCCCGCTGGACCATGACACTTCCTTGCTCCTGGGCCTATCCAGACAGGGCTCTGTCTTCCCAGGACAAAGATCCCTCAGTTGCTCATTACTCTGGAAAGAGCCTAGGGAATCCCACTGTGGTGTCACTGTGCATACACATGCTTAGACACACGCACACACACGCGCACACACACACACACGCATTCTGTCCCCCACTCTGGAGATTGTCAATTCCTGTAATTTACATCTACTATATACACATTAGACAGGAGTAACAGAAGGCATCCAGTTGAGAAAATGAGGGGACAGGGAATAAACAAAAGGAGACCACACCCTATCTAGAAGATACTCTACCCTAGACCTCCCCTCATCTGAGCATCACCGCCCCCATTAAATAGTGTCTCCAGGGAAAGAGAGGGGCCCGAGTGAAGGCGCCCCAGCTCCCCCCTTGTCTCCCAGCAGGTGCTCCAAAGCCGGTGCTGTAGGACCTCATAAAAAGAAGGGAACAGAAGGGGCCTGTCCACGGTCTGGGCATCAGGCTCCCTGCACCCTGATGACTGCTGACACCAGCTCCGCCCTGAGTCAGCCCAGCTCCAGTCAGCACTTCTGGAGCCCCGGGAGCAGGCGAAGGAGCCTCCAGGAAACCCTGGGGTGAGAGGGCCCCCCCTCCTGTGCCACCTCCCTGCCCCATCTGCACTGGGTCGACACGTCCACTTCCCGGGCTGAGGCAAGGCTGTGGCAGAGGCGGTCAGGGCCCCCAGACGCAGGGCTGTGGCCTGGGGCTGGAAGAGGGCGCGAAGGGAAAGAGTGAGGCTGGCCCTTCTGGGGGCGCCATCGGCAGTGGGGGGTGGGGGGGGGGTGGGAGAGAGAGATTGGTTGCTCAGTCCAGAGTCAAAGGGAAGAGAATGTTTAGGTGTCCGTGCGTCCGTGCGTGCGTGCGCGTGCGTGCGTGTGCGTGTCTGTGCTGGCTCGGGCTCAGAAGCAAGGGTCCCGATGGTTGGGGCAAGTCCTACCTTGAAACGACAGCAGCAGCAGCAGCAGCAGCAGCAGCAAGGCCTCGGGTCCCCGCATCTTGGCTCCCAGGGACAGGGGCATCGGTGGAAAGGCAGAGCCGCCCAGTGTTTCTGACGGTCCCCTGAGTTCTCCCCGGGAGCCGGCTCTAGAGCTGGGTAGGGCGCGACCCGGAAGGCAGGAAATCGCGGAGTCCTCAGGCGCTGCCTCGCCTGCCTATCCCTCCGGGGTCTCTGCTGGGGACCCAGCCCTCCTCTACCCGCCCAGCTCCGGCTACCCCCGAAAAGCCGTGATCGGGAGCTCCGAGCTCCCCCAGAGCTGCTTCCCACGCCGTGGCCAACGACGACGGCAGAAACCTGGGAACCTGCTCAGCAGGTCAGAACAGGTGCGTCTCCGGGGGTTGGGCCTGGCACGAAGACGTACCAGCCACCGCCCCCACGGCCTGGGCTAGCTAATGGGCGCCAGGGAGGGAGGGCAGGAGGGAAGGACCCGGCGGTGGTGGTGGTGGTGGCGGCGGGGGGGGGGGGGGGCTGGCGGGGGGGGGGACCCCATCGTCAGCTCCAGGCTTCACCGGGCAGTGTGGCAGGGGCTGGGGAGGGAGAGGCAGGGGGCGGGGGGCGGGGCAGGAAAAGGCCCAGGGTGGCTCAAAGAGGGAGGCACCAGGCCAGGAGGAACAGGGGCAAGGCCCTTGTGGGTGGAAAGGAGCCCAAGCATCCCACACCCCAGCCAGCCTCGCTGCCTCCCGGGGGCCTTGCCAAGTTCCCCAGTCTCCTGCAGGGGCTCGGCTTTGAAGCTGAGAACCAGAGAAGGGTCAGAACTGGGAAGTACGGGACTGGCCCATATACCTCTTGCTTGAGGTGAGAACAGAGGCCCAGGGAGGGGAACGGCCTTGGAGGACACACAGCTTAGGTAGGAACACGGTTTTCTCAGACGCCTGTATCCTCAGACAGGGGGCTGGTTCCAAGACGCCCGAGAAGGAGCTTAAGTGACACCGTCCCCAATGCCACCGTATATAGAAGCTGATGGACTGACCGAGAAATGAGCCCCACGGGTTCCTGGCCTCCCTCACTGGATCCTCTCTCCACTTCAAGGCCTCCTCGTCACCTGGCCAGGAGTCCCCAAAGTGCACCAGCCCAACACTCCACGGTCATTTTACCCTCTTATCCCACGGTCATGGGACAAGACCACATGTCTGGACTTTGCAAGGTCAAGCTCGATTTCAAATACTCTGCCCCTGTATCCCTGTAAGTTTATTCCTACTTGTAAGCCCCTGGGATTCCATTCCGGATGCACACAATATAACCACCAAGTGACACGAGACCTTCCTGGCCAATGTGGGATAGCCAGAGGACGGGGGCAGGCTCTGAACTCCCTGAACACTGAGTGACGAGGAGCCACAAGCTCACTGTCAGACTGGGGCTAAAAAAAAAAAAAAAAAAAAGTAAATACTGAGCTAAACGGGAGGAAAGAAAAAAAAATGTATATATATATATAGGTTACAATTTGCAGCAGGACCCTTTTGTCTGGCCGGAGGCAGGAAGCGGGGTTCAAGGGCAATAAGGGAGGGTCACTTTGCTTAGACTGTGTTCTCCACACCCCACACCCCCAACTCTGTCACAATCTTATTCATCTTTCAAAGCTGCCCTCACAGGCCACGTCTTCCGTGGGGCTTTCTCAGCGCCTCCCACCCAAAATGAATCTTCCTCTGTCCTTCCCCAGCCTCTGCTAGTCCCTTTATTATAGCCTGTGCGCCCATAATTTGTGCACATCTTATCTCCTTGACTAAATGTAAGCTTCGGTTTCAAGAAACATGGATTGGAGCCTGCTGCGTGCCAGGGACTCGGTTAAACGTGTGAAACCGGGGGCCAGGACGGGCAGCTGTAGTCTGTGAGCTCCTGGAAAGTCAGGCCTGTTTTATAACCTTTGTCGCAGTCGCCCAGGCCCGCACGGGACACACTTCTGTCGAGGGCGCGCGTTCGTGAATGAATGGATGTCAGTGTGGAAAGGGTGGTCAGGGAGGGCCAGGAAAGGGGACACCCCGACTCTCCCGAACCTGAGCCGTCACCCGGACTCTAACCCTGGCCTCAGGACCATGGCCCCAACTCTTGGCAGTGACCTTGGTAGTGCTACCCCTTCTTCAAGGGCTATTTCCGGCAGGCCCTCCTCAAGGGCCAGGCCAGATGCCAAAACTCCCCAGCTCCTCTCCACCTCCACCTCGGCAAACCCCTTCCCCTCTTTAGGACTCAGGTCCCCACCTGTGCCAAGGGAAGCGGCCTCACCCCGATGCTGCTTTGAGATGCAGTGTCGCAGGGGTGGGGTAGGGCCAGGGGCTATGGGAGGGGGGGAGCATCCTGTATTATAATTATAATTATCACACCTCGGATCCTATCACACGGTTTCCTTCCCACGGATTCACCCCTCCTGGTCCCGGAAACCACTAGAGAAACCGAGGCATGGGGGGGGGGGCAGGGGGGACAGCAGTGGGTTTCCAGTTCTGGTTCCCGCATCTCCTCAGCCTCCCCATGCACCATACGCCCCCAACCCCGCCACAGTGCAACCAGTCAGGGAGTCTGTGAGCCCCTCGTCCACTCACCCCCAGCTCCAGCCGTGTGGAGAGCTGACGGGAGGCGGGACTTGCCCGAGGTGTCGCTGGGGCCGAGGACCCAAGGTGGTCCAGCCAGGCCTCTGCTTGAAGTCGAAGTGTTGCCCTCCCTCACCGAACAAATATCCGTCTCCAAATCTCTCTGCTCCCGGGGCCATCTTGCGTGTCTCACCAGGGCCATGCGCTTGGGGGACAAGCCCTCATTCGCAGGCCTTTCTGTGCCTCTTTTGGGATGAGTCCTGCGGAAGGCAGATTCTAGGGACTGGGGCTGGAAGAAAATCCTGGCTGCGGAAGCCTTTCTAGAACAGTGCCTGGTTTCCTGCCCTCCGTTCTGTGCTCCCCATCGAACCCCCGTTCCCCTCATGCCTCGCTACCTACCTTCCTCCCACCCACATTCTGGGCCCGAAGAATGAGAACAATTCAAGCCGCGGTGGCATCGTTAACGTGCGCACGTGTCTGAGCGGCGTCACCGGGCCTGCCTGCCTCAGTTCAATTACGGACACTTAGTGAGCACCGCTGAGCACCAGGCTCCAGGGAGGGGACGGGGCCGCAGAACACCCGGCCCCTGCCCTCCGCGAGCCCCTCCGTTGGGGGAGGGGGCCGCGTCGGCCGGCAGGCGCCACGTCCCGCCACCGTGCGTTCCCTTCGCGTCCTCGTGCACGTGCCGCCTCCAGGCTCAGGGCTGTTTCCGCGAGCGGACCTGCGGATGCTTACCGTCCTGTGGCCGGGCACCCGCTTGCAACTCCTGTCTGTCCCCGCGGCAGGCTGCACACCTAGGCCAAACCGGTCGGGGTGGGTCGTGCTGAAAGTTTTGTTTGTGTCAGTGGGACTGGGAGGTGAGTCAGGGAGGGACGAGGAGGGGTGGGGTGGGGTGGCGAGGAGAGTGAGAGCGAGGGTCAGGCTGAGCGAGGGGGAGGAGGAGCGGACACGGGGGTGGGGGTGGGGGGAGAACCCTGGGCTTTGGGAGAGACGGGGTAGTCCAATCAGAGTGGGCCGAGTCGGAGGCACGAGGGTGGACGGCGTGTCTGCGACCCAGTCCTGCCCGGCTGTGTGGCCCTGCGCGCCACGAAGCTGCTTCCGATGCGCTCGTCGCCTTGGCTTCTGCAGTTTGCACAGGGAGGCTTTGGGGGCGCTGACCGACACCGTGGCAGAAGATTCCCGACACGGGGTTTGATTCCGTCCCCCAGGACCGACCGCGGCTCCTTCAGGTAGAGGCTTCAAGCTCATTTCTGCTCCTTCCGGGGCTGCCCCCCTCACACAGAGGGTCCCGCACAGAGGAGGGGTTCCCGGAGCTTTTCCGCCACGGAGACACCCCTTCGCCCCCCCCACCCCCGCAGCCGGAGCTTCGCTGTGCCCACTGTTAGGATGGTGGCACCCAGTTTTCCGGAAGGTTTCATCTAAACGTTCCATCTGGCACGTGCTCTGCTGTTCCCATTCGCCCCGTTCTGCAGGCCCAGGGATCCCGGGTACCCAGCCCCGGTCCTTCAACGACAACCACACTTCTGGTTGCCTCACAGCATCCCTCGGAGCCCAGGGGGCTAGGTTTGTTTGCCGCGAAAGAGGTCTAAAGCTGGGGTGACCCACCCAGGGGCGACGGCTCAGCTAAAGGCGTGCCCGTGGGCCCCGTTTCTCAGTAGGCCTCCACGTGCGCAGCCCCACCTGCTGGCTGTCACCCCCTGGACCCCCCAAGCATCTGCAAATACACGACCGTGAACTCAGGGACCTCGAGCATGGGGTAGGAGACAGATGCCCTTATTCTCTGACCCCCTGTCTCTGGATGGGCTGGCCCTTTTAGAAGGCTCTAGAAGTGGGTGCTGGCAGGTCTAGGACAAGAGTCGGAGCCCTCCCGGAGAGCAGAGTCTTTGGAGCACCAGCGAGAGGTGTAGCAGCAAAGGAGGAAGTACGAGCAAAGGCAGGCAGGGTCCTGAGAGCTCGGACCCCAAGCGGTGCTCCCCATGCATCCTCCCAGTCTCCATCCCAACCGCGGAGGCTCCTCCCGGGAAGCCCGGCTGCCGGGAATCATGAGGGGGCGCTCCCCAGGGGCCAGACGGGTACCTTCAGGTGCTCCCGGCCTTTGGGGCTTCTGCTCCCCTCCAAACAGCGGCCTGGATGCCCAGGGCAAGGTGCCTGTCCAAACCCGACCGCCGGCCGCCCCCCCCCCCCCGCCATCAGCCTGAGCCCCTGTCACCACCCGGCGCAGCTGCCCCAGGGGAAAGCAAGCCTCCAGAGGCCCTGCCATCAAGTGTCCGCCTTGGACCAGGCGCTGGGGGCGGCAGGACAGCTGCAGAGCGGAAAATGGCCCCGCGAATCCAGGAGACCAGAAGGCCCAGCGCGGGGAGAAGCCTGGAAGGGCTGGGAGCTTCGGAGAAGAGTGGAGAAGCCCCTGAGGGGAAAGGTGGATGTTCTCGAGGGGACACAGGAGCAGAGAAGGGCCGAAGCTGACAGAGCATGGGGGCCAAGGGGGAGCGGGGCACGGGGGGCGGGGAGGGGGCAACGGGGAGGAGCTGGGGACTCCCCGTAATTTGAGGGCACATCTTCTTTTGAAGTTTGTTGGCATAATCTTCCTTCTGTGTGGCCTGGGAACATTCACCTGTCCGTCTTGTAAATCCAAGCTCCCTCCTCCTCTCCCCTCCAAGACCCAGGTGGCCTCAGACCTGCTGCCGGCCTGTTTCCATGGCCAGCACTCAGCAGCCGCGTGGCTGCCCTGGTCAGAGGCCAGGACGCGTCACAGCTGTTGAGGGGCCCAGTCCCGGGCGCCCAGGTTCCATCTTGGTCTGCGCCCCCCACCCCTCCCCGGCCCCCAGGAAGCAGGGGCCAGGACTTCCGGTTTCCGGCCGCCCTGGGGCAGCACAACTCGTTCTTGGCCTTGCTCCCACCACACTTGGGAGACCTGGACTCTATCCTGCGTCGGTTTTCAGCCCCACACACAGCGAGGTCGGGAGCTTGAGAAGTCCCGGGAGGCAGAGGCGCAAGCCGAGCAGGCCCCCCACTCCCCTGCTGGGCATTCCCCGCCCCCCACAACCCCGCACACCCCAAGATGCACGCGTGCCTTCCCCTTGCAGGCACCCCTAAGTGACTGCCCTCCAGCATCACCCCGAAGCCTTTTTGAACCCCAGTTGCTCCTTCATTTCTAGAAGTGGCATAAAAAAAGGACTAGGGATCAGGAAACAGAGCGCGAGTTCCTTCCTGCGACAGTTTGCAAGATCAGGTCCATAAAGGAAAGGATAGAGGAGTAAAGACCGGAATCTGTCTCCGTTTGCCTGTTGGCTTTCCTCCCTGGGCCTAGGCCTCCACCCACCAAGGTCTCCTGTGGGGAAATCCTACTCCCTGAAAAGGCCCCGGACATCGAAGCTCCCTCAGGTCCTCGTTAGTCATCAATATACCCTCTGACTGTGCCCAGGGACCCCACACTGAGTGTACAGTCTAGAACACAGCCAAAGGGGAGAAGCCTGGTCACTCCTGGAAGGTTCCAGAGCTCCTTGAAGGAAAGTCAGATGGTTACCTCTGTTCAGCAAGGGGGGTGGGGGGGAGCGGGGAGGGGCGGGAAGAGCAGACTTGGAAATGGTGACAGATCTCAAGGCACAGTGAGACCAGGTAGAAACCTGGAGAAAGAAAGGAGTCGGGGCAGAAACGCGCGCGCGCACACACACACACACACGGAGTAACGGAGGGGGCGTAATTCAGAGACAAAGACGCTGAGACAAGGCCTGAAGCAGAGACACAAAGACCCTAAAGAGAAGTTTCTGAATGCCTAGGTGTCCTCATCTACCTCAGTTTCAGCCACTCAACAGTGGGACCCAACGACGTTTCCTCTTCAATACCGCCAGGTCCCTTAAATATTCAAAATTTTGGGGGCACCTGGGTGACTCAGTCAGTTAAGCATCCGACTTCAGCTCAGGTTCATGATCTCACGGTTCATGAGTTCGAGCCCCGCATCGGGCTCTCTGCTGTCAGCACGGAACCTGCTTCAGATCCTCTGTCCCCACCCTCTCTCTCTCCAAAATAAACATTTAAATTTTCTTTCAAAAATTCAAGATGCTCCCCATCCTTACCCCCTCTCTCCACCATTCTCCAGTTAGACTGATGCCGTCCCCCACCCCCCACTCCGTCTGCTGACAGGTCCACCTTTTCTCAAACCCCTTGCAGCTCATGTCCCAGTTGCAATCGGATGGGCTCTCGAGATCCGGCCTCTTGCGGTCTCTTTTCCCGGCCATTCCTCTTTCTTTCTTTTTTTTTTTTTTTTTTTTAATTTTTTTTTTCAACGTTTATTTATTTTTGGGACAGAGAGAGACAGAGCATGAACGGGGGAGGGGCAGAGAGAGAGGGAGACACAGAATCGGAAACAGGCTCCAGGCTCCGAGCCATCAGCCCAGAGCCCGACGCGGGGCTCGAACTTACGGACCGCGAGATCGTGACCTGGCTGAAGTCGGACGCTTAACCGACTGCGCCACCCAGGCGCCCCTCCTCTGCCTTTCTGTTGATCCGTGTCCTTATTCTGGCTGATCCGAGAGCAAAGCACCAGAATTTGGGCCAGGGAAGCAGGGAGCCAGGAAGACAGCCGGCCAGAGTGACCTGGGGGGAAAAATGTAGAAAGGTCAGAGGACAGTAGAAGAGGCAGTGCGGGCCGGCCTGAAGGGTGGCACAGCCTGGGACACATCGGCGGAAGGAACTGAGCAAGTCCCGAGTGGGCGGTTGTGTCCTGAACAATGCTGAGAACCAGGGAGGGCTCCAGGGCCAGACTGAGTTTAAGGGAAGGAGAAAAGAGGGTTTTCTGAAGACAGATTGGGTACAGACTTGGGGCTGGGACAGACATCTGAGACTGGGAAGCTGGGCAGCAGGCACCCTCGTACCAGAAATGGCCAACTGGGACCAAGCTCATGGGATCGTGTCAGGACTGTGAGACTTTCCGAATGATCTGCCCTAGCCCCCAGCCCTGGACAGACATTGGCCCCGGATATTATCAGCAGGTGGAAGCAGGTGCAGAAGAGGAGGGGCCCCTCTGGCTGCCCTTCTCCTGTTCTCTCAAAGTCCTTTGTCAGGCCCACCCTTCACTTTATCCTAATGCCCCTTCAGCTTCTGGATCACTGACAGGGTCATCATAGACCACTTTAGATGCTGCTCTGGGTATAAAATAAGTCATAAAAGGCAGACTGGCTTGTGTTTTTTCTTTTCTTTCTGTCTTTTCTTTCTTCCTTCCTTCCTCCATCCCTGGCTCCCTCCTTTCCTTCCTTCCCTTTCTTTCCTCCCTCCCCCCTTCCTTCCTTCCTCCCTCCCTTCCTTCCTCCCTCCCTCCCTCCCCCCCTCCTCTCTCTCTTTCTTTCCCCTAGACTCTTTTCTACCTCCTCCAAACTATGGGCTTGGTTCAGACTAACCAAAGGAAGTGGGAGTCCTGAGCAGCTCCTCCCCTGGGTCTGTGTCTGGAACAGCAGTGGCTAAATATCTCAAGCTTCCAGATGGCCCTGGAGGGGGTATCACCAAGGAGGATGTGGGGTTCAGGCTCTACACCCAAGCGAAATGCAAACGACTGAGGGCTCAGAGCCAGGGTGGAAGCTGAGGGAAGGAACACAAAGCTGTGAGAGAGAAGCTGGAAAGGCCCCTGGGGTGGGGAGTTCCCGGCTCTACCCAGGAGAGGCAGAAGATGACTCTGGCAAGGGGCGCCTGGCGGGCTCAGTCAGTAGCATGTGACTCCTGATCTTGGGGTTGTTAAGTTCAAACCCCACCTTGGATGTAGAGGTTACTTAAAAATAAAATCTTTGGAGGCGCCTGGGTGGCTCAATCGATTAAGCATCTGACTTTTGATTTGGGCTCAGGTCATGATCTCACGGTTTGTGTGTTCAAGCCCAACGGTTGGGCTCCAGGCAGGGCATGGAGACTGCTTAAGATTCTCTCCCTCCCTCTCCCTCTACTCCTCCCCTGCTCTGGAGTGCACGCTCTCTCTCTCTAATAAAGAAAGAAAAAAGAAAGAAGGAAGGAAGGAAGGAAGGAAGGAAGGAAGGAAGGAAGGAAGGAAGGAAGGAGAAAGAAAGAAGAAAGGAAGAAGGAAGGAAGGAAGGAAGGAAGGAAGGAAGGAAGGAAGGAAGGAAGTTAAATTAAATTAAATCTTTGGGAAAGAAAAAAAGAAAAGGAGTCTGGCAAAATGGACATATAGGCCCACAAGGCTTAAGTGAAATGACCACCCCGCCCCCCTCATCCCAGGCAACTCCTTGCCTAAGTCCTAGCTGGTTGGAGGCTAGCCAGTCAGAGCAGTCTTAGGGAGAAGGCTGGCTTTCAGATTTCAGTCGGGGATGTTAGCAGTTGGGGATTTTCTAGAGATTTCGTTACCATGATCTGGCAAAACTGAGGATCATCTCCGCCAGACTCAAGGAAAGCTGGAATTGGGGGGGACGGGGACTTTCGAATCTCTTACTGGTTCTCGGCTTCAAGGACAAATGGGAAACGGGTCTGGTAACCTTCCAGTCTCTCTGCGCCTTCCCGCACATACTGTCACCATGCTGTGTGCTCAGAGGACGTGTGCTCAGAGGACGCGCACCATCAGACCCCTGAATCACAGGTCCTCCCCGCCCGCAGTCCTGGTCTCCCTCGTGCCTCCATTTCTGGGGCGTGATGGGGAACGAGCTGATGTGTGGAGACCACAGGCGACAACAGCAGCCATCACCCGCATTTGCAGCCCAGGGCTGGGGACACACGTCCGGTTTCTGTGCTGGGAGCAGAAATCTGTCTGCATTGGCTCCTGGGGCCCAAACTCCTCAGCTTGGATCCGGGCCTCTTGGTCCCTCACCGGGTCCTGGAGGGACAGAGTCAGGAGGAAGGGCAGGGGACCTGGCTGGAATTAAAGGGAGATACCAGGGAGTAACAGATGCTTGTTTTTCTGTTCTTGCGGCCGACGGCCCGCCTCCCCACTACGCCTCCTCCAGCTTCCAGGGCTGGGCAGCTGCTGGCCTGGATCTCTTCGGGAGAAACTCCCTGCCCTTAACCTCGAGTTCCAGATGCCACAGCACCTCAGTTTCCTTGCGAGCCTATGAGGCGAGCTGAAATAAGGAATTATTCTTCCCGGGACACCGTAGTGGAAAGTTCTCCAAGTTTCAGGCATCCCCCCTCACCCCCAACCCAACCCCGCCCCCCAACGCGCGCGCGGTGTGCCCTGAGAGCAGGCTCTACCACCCTCTAGTGGCCAGAACAGAAAGGACGCTCCCACCCAGCCAACCGGGATCTTCAGCAGGGAAAGTCGTCTGCAAGACGGCTGAGACAGAAAACCCACAGCACAGTTTATAAATGAGAAAGCTGAGGGTGCCCGCGGTCACCCCGAGAGTCAGGGGCACGGCTGGGACCAGAACCCAAGTCTCCTGACTCCCACTTTCACGCCCCCTCTTCCCTTCCCCCAGACTCATCCCGGGGGAGGACAGGTGCAATTGGAAAAGGGTGTCCCTCGTCGCCCCCCGCAGAGCCACGCCTGCACCTCAAATCAGCTCGCGGCTTTGATAACGGGGGTCCGTCTGAGGACCTGGCCGCCCTCTGACAGTTTTTCAGGATTCTTCTGGACTTCGCGCAGCTCCCGTCGCCGCGGTGACAACACCGTCCCTTCCCGCAGCTACCCGGGTCTCCCGGTCTCCACGGTAACCGGTGCTTTGCGACCTTCGGTTTGCAGCCGGTCGCGCTGCCAGTGCGGCAGTGGTTGCTGGGCGACGGCGGCGCGTGGCAGGGACCCGGGCGGTTCCTGGGGGGCAGGCGGGGGAAGGGGTCATGGCGCTCGCGGGGTCCCCGGGGGGCGCGGGCTGGACCTGGCGGCCGGTGGCCCGGGACGCGCTCCTGGCGCGGGCCTTCCATTCCTGCACTGAGCTGCGGGGACGCTTCTACCTGGTGGGGGGCCTCCCGGCCGGAGGGGCGACGGAGCCGAGCGGCGACACGGTGGTCTTCGACCCGGCGGGAGGCCACGCCTTACTGCTGGGGGCCCGGGGCGGCCCGCGGCGCAGCCACCACGACGCGGCGCCGGTGGGCGGGCGCTGGCTCTGCGTGGTGGGCGGCTGGGACGGGTCGCGCCGCGTGGCCACCGTAGCCGCGCTGGACACGGAGCGCGGAGCGTGGGAGGCGTGGAGCGCGGCCCCCGGCAGCCGCCCCCCCGCCGGCCTCAGCAGCCACACCTGCACCCGCGTCTCCGACCGCGAGCTGCGGGTGGCGGGCCGGGAGGGCGGGACCCGCACCCAGCGTCGCTACGGCAGCGTCTACACGCTACGGCTGGACCCCGGCGCCCGCACCTACAGGTATGGCACCCCGGGCCCCGCACCGTCCCCCGTCCCTTCATCTGTGCTCTGGAAAAGCGCAGGGGAACAGAATCGCAGGCACTCCGGCCACAGCCGCACCCCGGCACCCGCCTCCCCCCGCACCCACCGTGACTACGATAGCGAGCTCGCTCTCTGCCGGTGCTACTCTCTCTCTCTCATCCGACCGCTGCTCGGTCCCTGCCTCCTTTCCATGCTTGGCACCACAGAAAGGGGCTGGGGAAAGGGCAGTACAGCACTTGTATTTTCCAGAAAACCCAACTCAGGCCCGAACTGCTGCATATCCACAGCTATAAGGAAGAGGGCTGTCACACAGCCTCACGCTCGGGTCACTGCGCTGCCCTGCTCCAAACTCCCGGGCCCCGCCCAGGCCACCAGCTCCTGCTCTTTGGGGGCTGCAACTCGGCTGAACCAGAAGTAGCCGGGCACTGGAGTCACGGGAAGCTTGGGGTACCTGTCGACTCACAACTTGTTAGGGTGGAAAGGGGCAAAAACTGTGAGGCCCAAATCCCTCCAGCCAACACCCCTTCTTTCTCCCGCAAGGAGGAACCACATGCTGCCCCCCATCTGAGGGAGCAGCTTGCCAGGCTTGTGAGCACTGGGCAGGGGTCCCGGCAGGGGCCCCGGGGCCTGCGGCATCACTCGTGTTCCGTGGTGGGGCCCTTTGCCGTGCTGTTTGGTGGAGAAACTCTGACCAGAGCCAGAGACACCATCTGCAATGACCTGTACATCTATGACACCCGTGAGGGCCGGCTGGTTGAGGGGGGGAAGAGGGTGGGGAGAAGGTGGGAAGACGAGGAGGAGCCCCATGGTGCCAAAACGGTACCGCCTCAATAAGTACCCTCTGCTCTTCCCCAACAGGCAGGTCTCCTCCTTCGTGGTTCCACTTCCCCTGCGCAGACCAAGGGCTGAAGCGCGTGGGCCATCGCACCTGCCTTTGGAACGACCAGCTTTACCTGGTTGGGGGTTTCGGTGAGGATGGCAGGACGCCTTGTCCACAGGTTTGCATCCTGGACCTTTTTATCTAAAGAATATGCCAAGACACATCGCCAAGCTCCCGTTTTGTTGCAAACTCGCAGCGCGTTACCACCAGAGCGATCTGCCTCATTTCACCTGCTTATTAAATTTCAACCTGAGAGTCAACATTTGTCTCTGAATCTTTTGGGGGGGGGGGGGGAGGCAGTGAATAAGGAGATACATCTTTATTTGCAAGGGAAAGGATAAAATACGGGGCCTCCTCTGAAACTGTGAACCATTAGCCTGATGGAGCCAAACCCCACAGATCATGGGCTTTTTTCCATGCCTCATGCAGATCCCGCCCCTAATATTGGGAGAAAGCTTGAGGCTGGAGCTGAGCATTCTGACCAAAACATTTAATTAACAAAAAAATATTACAATAGCAGAGAAAATAATAATAATAACAATAAAGAGAAATCAGAAGAAGTGGGAGTCAGGGTAGAAAAAAAACACGCAAAGGCCTTGGTCCCTAGGAGACCAACACTCCGGCTGAGGTGGACTTGGCCCCAGCCCCTTCGGAGTTTTCCTTGGCTGCTGGCTTGTCATCTTCCCCCATGAGACGAATGTTGTGCTTTTCCCGGAACTCATTTAATTCTCTTCCCTTTGCCTGAAGCTGCTGTGTAAGTGTCTCAATGATCTTCTGTATCTAGAGGGCCAGCGATAGGATTACATGAGGATTTCAGGAACCACCTTCCCCTACCTGGGATGCACTATAGTTGGGGGATGGGAAGGAGAGAGGACACCTGTAACCTCACCTCTTACCAAGCATCAATAGTAGAGCCGAGAGCCTAAAAGTATGCCTTTCTCAAACACAACGGCGTATGAGCTTTAATGTACGTTAAGAACCGCTTGGGCTGTTTATGTTTAAAATGCCACTCCGTGGGGCGGCTGGCTGACTCGGTCAGTAGAGCATGTGACTCTTGATCGTGGGATTGTGGGTTCAAGCCCTACATTGGGCACGGAGAGGACTAAAAAAAAAAAAAAAGGATGCCACCCCATCGGCCCCCTAGCCAGTTCTGAATCAGTGGGTCCAGGCAGCTGCATTTTGGGTCAGGCCTCCAGGTGACCTGGATGCAGGTGTCCCCGGACCACACTGTGAGAGACCCTGCTCTCACTGCCGCCTCTCCCCCTTGGGAGAGCCACGCTTGTGAGCCAGGTCACAGAGTGCCAGGGAAGAGGCCGCCAGCCAGCAGTCCCTCCTGTGTGAGGAGTTAGACTCTGCACAGCATAAAAAGCACAGGCTAACAGGCTACGTGTGCCGTCTTCAACATGGGTGCCCACCCACTTCCTCCACCACGCTCCCCCGGTCCCGGCCTCCCTTCCCTCACCCCTCGGCGCCCAGAGCTTGTCCGCAGGGACTCCCGCTCACCTGCTCCTTGTTGCTCTCCAGGGCCGGCAACACCTCCTTGACCGTCCGCTCCACCAGCACGCCTCCAACCATGCGGTAGCACTTGCGGGCTTCGTCCACCTCCTTCAGGGTGTCTATCACCAGGCTGGGGTGGGAGGACAAGGCCGCTCGGAGAATCCAGCCCCGCTCCACGGCAGCCCGCCCTTACAATGTGGCCTGCCCACCTCTCCTGTCTGCGCCTCCCCAACGCCCTCACCTGTGCTCATTCAACTCCATCTCTAGCTCGGCTGCCTTGGATGCCAGACCCCGCTGTTCCTGTCGAAGGCGGTTGAAGCCAGCAATAACCTTAGAAGGTGAGAAAGAGTTAAGTGAGAGAGGAGACAGCGGGCACGGCAGAGGGTCAAGACACAACACAGGATGGCGAGCTTTGGACACCTCCCTTAGAAAAGGAGTAGAACCCACGTCTGCCATTTCGACCTTCAGTCTGTCCGGAAGCCATTCACCCTGCACTGAGAGCCTGCCCTGTGTGAGAGAGAGCTCTGCTAGTCCCTCTCGCAGCTTCCCGTGTGGTGAGGAATAGGCATGTGTAATTCAGGATGGGGTGGAGAGCTACTGGGACACCTGCAGAGAGGCTTAGACTTGCAGGTAAAGAAGGCTGTTCAGAAAGACTCTGTAGTGAGTTAACTCCTGTTTGGACCTGCCCAGCCAGCATTCTTCCCACAGGGGAGCCGCCCTCCTTAGCTCAGGGGGTGCTTGTGGGGCTACTATTCACAGGACCCTTGGCCCTTGGCCACAAGGGCAGTGACCTGTTGTTCTATACCAGAGTCTCTTACAGGAACTGATTTTGGGGGTAGAGAGAAACAGGTGCAGCGAAGGCAACTACTTGTCCCGCAGAGATGATCCTCCATTCCTCCTCCTGAAATCCCCAAAGCTGCCCTAGTTCTTGAACTTGGTGGGACCCAGTTATTTAACCTTTCTTTTCATTGTGTTCAATTCTGTGAACTACCCGCTATCCTTCCAAAACACTACTTCAAAAAAGAAAAAGTTGGTCAGAGTCCATGTCTGCAGCCTAGAAACCCTAACTAACATAGGCTTCCTGAGAGACACGGCCTTAACTGAAGCCTGAAGGATGAGAAACTGGGGGAGGAAAGGGTGCAAAGGAGGCATAAGAAGTAACACACGTAAAGGCCCAGAGAAATGATTACTACCAGCTCCTTGTTCCCCAGAAACAGAGCAGGGAACCTAAAACAGCGTGAAAGCCAGACTGGGCACTAAAATCACCACCTCCGTCACTCTCAGTACAGGGCTCTGATGACTGTGTTTGGGAAGAAGTACCAGATAAAAGGCGGAAAACGTAATGAGGAAAGAAAATCGTGGGGGTGTGTGGGGGGGGAAACATGGGGCCCAGAGACAAAAAACCAGGTTCAAGTTGGTCTCTGCCATATACTGGCTCTATGGCCTCGGACATTTAATCCGATGGTTCTCAACCCTGGCGACACGTTAAAGTCCCCAGGAGAGCATTTTCAAAACATGAATGGTGGAACCTCAGAACAATTACACAATCACTGGGTGGGGCCCCTGGGATCTCAGCACTTCTGACACTCCCCCGTAATTCTAATGTGCATCCAGAAAGGAGAACCACCGGGTTTCCCCCTCTGGGCCTGAGTTCCCTCACCTGTGACACACACAGGGTCACCTACTTTATAGAACTGTTGCATGGTGCGGGCTAGTAGGAAAGGGCTTCGTAGGCAGGAAAAGTGCATTAACTGCCGTCATGGCCTTCTCCCCAAACCCAAGTGCCCCCTTGGCCCTTCCTGATCAGCTGAGGGCCGTGGGCCCGCCCACGCTCTCGCTCCCAGCCAGATCCTGCCCGGTCTCATGCTACTGGTGACCGCCTCATCTTTACTAGGACCTTTTATCCCGTACCTCTCTCCACAAGGCTCATCTACAGCTGATAAGACCCTGCTGGCTGGCCTGTGCCACCCCTACATCTCTTTTCCTGCTCAAAAAACCAAGAAATAAGTCTGACTAGGACGCCGTCGCCCCAGTCGTATGCTGCCTCCTCCCGGCCACCAACCTTTGATCTCCGTGTACTTCTCGCACTCATTGCAACAAACGCTTTGAAACCTAACTCCACTACCTATACCAAACTATTCCATTTATGGTCAGCTTTTCCTTCACTATCGATGTTACAGATCAAAGTAATTTCATCTATGGAAATTCCACAACAAAACCAGATTCTCGATGCTCTCCCAGCATCCAAATGACCCTCTCTTCTGGATGTATTTTGTTGAACACATCAGTGAAATCAGCTTAAGAGTCTAAAATTTCTGAGGCCTAGACTTATTTCCCTTAGTAATTACTAGGAATCTACTTTTCAACCACCAATTTTTTTTTTTTTAATTTTTTTTTCAACGTTTATTTATTTTTGGGACAGAGAGAGACAGAGCATGAACGGGGGAGGGGCAGAGAGAGAGGGAGACACAGAATCGGAAACAGGCTCCAGGCTCTGAGCCATCAGCCCAGAGCCTGATGCGGGGCTCGAACTCACGGACCGCGAGATCGTGACCTGGCTGAAGTCGGACGCTTAACCGACTGCGCCACCCAGGCGCCCCTCAACCACCAATTTAACACAACTAAAGGCAAGAAGAGGTTTTGTTTTCAACTCCAATTTTTCTTCAAACATTATTGCTAATTAACAACCCCTACTTCCTCTTGGCCCAGTTTATGAACTTTTAATCAAATGGCAAATTAAAATAAATCTATTTCAGTGTATGAGTTATCTACAGTTATTATGGAAAATTTCAGCCACTGGTGCCCTTAAAGGAAATGAACTCTCGTAGCAGCTAACCATAACCTAACTGTAAATTAGGTGCAAAATAAGCCCATAGTAACCTGCCAATGAAGACAGAAAGGCTGTGATATATTCCCACGTTCTTCCTCTGAGAATACTTTTCTAATGGTCTTTTCCCTTATGGCCAGGTCAGTGTTGATTCCCTCAGCCCTACTAAAATCTTCATCTTACATGTAAACATCCCGACTGAAAAAGAATCCAATTAAATTAAAATACCAACTGTTTATCCTATTCAAAAGTAACTTCAATCCTGGCAACTATACAGAGCTCTTTACATTCTTGGCACAATTTTATACAGGACATGGTTTTCTACCCCCGCCCCCCCAGCTTTACTGACATAAAATTGACATACTACATTGTACAAGTTTAAGGTATACATTATGATTTAGTGTATGTATATATTGTGAAATGATTGATAATAAAGTTAGTTAATACATCCCATATGTTAACCCTCTCTGTGTGTTCACATATAAATGCATATCAATTCCTTAAATTTTTTGGTAGAAAAGCTTTCCAATTTTAGTGCATTTCTAATTTTCAACTATGCAGGCCTGCCTTCTAATCTTTACTGTTGTCTTCTTTGAAATTTTAAATATGCAAAGGCAACCTCTTTTAAAAAAATTTTTTAATGTTTATTTTTGAGAGAGAGACAGACTGAGCAGGGGAGGGGCAGAGAGAGACAGAGGGAGAGGGAGACACAGAAACTGAAGCAGGCTCCAGGCTCTGAGCTGTCAGCACAGAGCCTGACACGGGGCTCCAACTCAAGAACCGTGGGATCATGACTTGAGCCGAAGTCGGACCAACTGACTGAGCCACCCAAGCACCCCTGCAACCTCTTTTTAAATACCTGTTTTTTCCACAGTCCTACAATATTGCACCTTCCGCCCAAGGTTTGTAAGGAAAAGAACACTACTATATGCCAGG